CATTGTACCTCTTCTCCGTCAAGATTGATGTTTCCAACAATCCTGTCACGTTTTCTCCCAATAAGGATGGCCTGGCTCTTTGTTGCGTTAACCTTCACTTTCCATTTAATGAACCACTTTTGCAGTTCATCTGCGGCAAGCTGCAGATTCCAACGCACATGCTCTTTTCGCCACGAGGATGACATGAAAGCTGTGTCGCCCGCAAAAAGAGCCAGGGGCGTATTGGAGGTCCTCGGGATGTCACTGGTAAAGATGTTGTATAGTATCCGAGAGAGTACCGCTCCTTGCGGTACTCCAGCTTCTGTGCTTCTGTCCTCTGACCTATAGTTCCCAACTTTGACGCTGAATGTTCTTCTGCAAATGTAACTGTCGATTACCTGCCACATTTTCTCACTAATACCTGTTTTCATCATTTTATAGATGAGTCCCTTTCTCCACACTCTGTCGAAAGCTCTTTGTCAGAGTTTGTGCTCTGTCTGGTTCCCGTCGTCGCTTATATAGTTTCCTTCAGGTAACCCAGACGGTTCTCGAAAATCTCCAGCCTAGATGCAAAATTTCCCGCTTGTCAGTGTCATATTTGACAGTAAATGGGGCCCAAATGGGACCTACATTTACTGAAATACCATCAATTTCGATCCCACCCATTCCAAACCTGAGTACCTCAGGTAATTTTTGTTACACTACCCCTCTTCTAAACCCTGATCGCTCCGATTATGTAATTCCTGGATCATGGTTATATCTGGCCAAACGGTGAATGTGAACAACTTTAAATTTTTCCTGAGGGCTCTTCTGATTGCCCATCAACAGTTCAACGCCGACGAGGTCGTGCGGCCTGGTGTTCACTTGGCCTTTTCCCTGGTGTTCACTTGGCGCACCACGTTGTCCATCCATTGCATCAGAGTCCTCACCAGGTTAAAGAACTTGAACAGATCGCCAGTATCGGCCAGTTTTCCTTTGCGCAGCTCGCAAACCATTTGCAAACTCGACCATGCAGACAYCACTTCTTGTTCTCTATTTGTGATCTMTTTAGCTCCGTCGCCCGCATAGCTGSGTCGAAGATTGACCGGTTCTTCTTGGATCTGTTGCACTTGGTTCTGAAGCGTCTGTAGGTMTTGCATGAAGTTCTGATGTTTGCGCTGCAGAGTTGAAAYAGAATCAGCATCTCGGCCCAGTTCATGAGAAGAGGCCACCACTTYGCGATCAACTATCCACTGCTCCAAGTTGCYAACGTCTCTGTTGAGCTGGAAGAGCTGCAAGGCCTCATAGCTTAGCGCGACGTTCTTGCGCTAAATCCTTCAGTCCGGCATACAGCTTGTCCAGTTGCGACTGTTTAACAGCGACCTGCTCGGCCAAAGGATGTCCTTCAGCCGACAGGGCATTTACAGTTTCATCCAGTCCTCTGATAGTGTCCGCATAAGCTTTAACGGCCGATTCCAGATTTTCGTGCTTCTTCATAAAGTTCCTGGCGCTGCTCTCAACTTTGCCCCGATCTTCCACCTTCATGCAGAGCTCCTGCTCGCTCATCCAGCTTTCGGCCTCATTGGCATCGAACAGATACTGCTGCTCCCGCTCGTTCCTCAGCAAGTTGGCACGTCTGTTATCGATGGCTTCCTTCAACTCCTGCCACGCCTTGTGCAGCTCGTTGATCAGCCGGCTGAACTCTTTGTGGGTCGCATCTTTGTGGGCCCCATTGATCAACTTCTGCCCGTTGTTGCACACGGTGTTAACGCGCGGCTCGTGGTTCTCCACTTCAGTTTGCTGCGACCGGTTCTTCTTCTGCAATGTGTTAACCTGGGACAGGTTGTTGGCGTATCCCGTGGAACTTGCCAGGGGCATTTTTTCGGCTATCCATAGAAACTCGTCCTCGACATCCCGTCGGAACTGGAGCGCTTCCTTCTTCTTCTCCAGCAGTCGCTGTCTTCCGATGAGGGGCTGCTTAATGAGCTGGAAGCGCTCCTCCACTTTGCTCTTTTTCACCTTGATTTCGTTGATGTCCTTGTCGGGTGCGGCCGTTTCCAGATGTTTGGTTTGCTTGTCCAGATCACCGACTTGACGCGCCTTGACGCCAGTTGACGGGCCATTTGCGTTTTGATCATTTGCCGCTTTTGCATCCAAATATTCTCAGAGGCCAAATCCGACCCCGTGTTGTCGCTTTCGATTTGTTTCTCGAGTTCGTTAGCATTTCGTTCATAACTTTGTTGTTGTCTTCCATTTTGACATTCATTCGGTTAATTTTTTCGTCCATTTTCCTACTGTTGTCGCTCATTTTGTCCATCATCTGCATGAGCAGTGCAATCAAACTGGGGTTCTCGATTGCAGGGTCTTCCTTCTTTGATTTACTTCTTGTTTCCATCAAAATTCAATTGGATTCTGGTAAACCCCACATCTGACACCAAATGTACCGTGGATGGGCGAGTATCAAACACTTTCTTCAGCTTCCAACTTTTATTCACCTTGGTATAACTCGGTAGTACGGAACAGAAACAAACTAACTTCAAAATTAACGTCAACTTCAC